ATGCTCCCATTTTTATTATGGCGGTATATTTCTATTTACCATTCTAGGCAAGTAAATTTATTTTAAACCTATTAAAACATAATATACTTTACACTTTGAGAAAATTTTGTTTGTTTTGCATGCAATGTTCCACACGTTTATTAATTAGGAGTATCAAATAGTGATTATTACATCCTGGCATAGATTATGTTAATGTAGACACAGGACCATACTATTTTCGGGGGTGCTAGGACATATTGTTCAGACTTCCGTCAACATTTCCGTAGCGATATATGGTAAATCACTTCCTCGCTGAATGTTAATTACTCCTTTGTATTAAAAAAAGCCCGTAATCTAAAGCGAGGGTTCATTGCCAATGTTGGGGAAAAATTGCATTGCGGTTTGCTGCCCTCCTACCAACATTGCATGCAAAACAAACAAAATTTTCTCAAAGTGTAAAGTATATTATGTTTTAATAGGTTTAAAATAAATTTAGTTGCCTAGAATGGTAAATAGAAATATACCGCCATAATAAAAATGGGAGCATCCACATCAAAGCAAAATGAATGTCGCTTCGCCAGCCACCAAAAAAACTTCGCGAAGTACACACAGAAAAAAACAAGTACCCATAGAAAATACAAAGTAGCCCATAGAGAATACAAAGTGCCCATAGAAAATACAAAGTAGCCCATAGAAAATAACAAAGTGCCCATAGAAAATAACAAAGTAGCCCATAGAAAATACAAAGTGCCCATAGAAAATACAAAGTACCCATAGAAAATACAAAGTGGAATAAAAAATGCTAAGTGTACCTATGGGCCTTCGTAGGGCATCGATTCTTCCCGACCCGCGACGATATACACGGTTTTAGACCGGATTTGAAGTAGGCGACGATATGGGGGAAGGGGGGGCAGGACATGTAACGTTACAGTATAAATTCAACAAAAGCATAAATTCAACAAAATGAAGCAATCTTGTTTAAAGTAAAATAAAACATAACTAGAGATATCCCTCCAACCTTTTCCAGAATATTGAGGAGATCCATTCATTTGATCCAGAAATACACCTTGTCAAAGTTGCCTTTATTTTTGTCAGCCACATTGTTTACAATGTGTGAACTTCAGGTGCTGGCATAAATTCAAAAACATCAACTGATCTTCTTGAAACTGAACTGAAACTTGACTACTTATGTCACTCCCACATATTCTGGAATATCAAAGTGATCATGACTTTTGATCCAGAAATATGGACTGTCAAAGTTGCTTAATATTTTGTCAGCCATATTGTTTACAGTGTGTGAACATCATGTGCTGGCATAAATTCAAAAATATAGAATGATCTTCTTCAAAGTCAAACAGAACATAACTGCATATCTCCTATCCCACTACTGCAGGATATAGAAGAGATCCATCATTTAATCCAGAAATATAGACTCTCAAACTTCCCAACATTTTGTCAGCCATATTGTTTACATTGTGGGAATTTCAGGTACTTGCATACATTTGAAAACCACAACAGATTTCTTTAAAAGTCAAATGAAACAAAACTACATATGTAAGTCCAACATATTGCAGGATATTGAAAATGTACATGTTTTTGATAAAGAATTATAGACTTTCAAACATGTTCAATGATTTGTCATCCATATTGTGGACACTCAAAACTGCTTTGGGTGTCAACTATAATCCTAGGGAGAAATTCTCAAACAAATAAAGGATCTTTTCCCAAATAAAGTAGAAAAGTAGTACATATATATACATATTTCTAACATATGTTGTAATTTCAAAGAGATACATTCCTATCAACCAGAAGCATGAGCATAAGAGAATGATACACCTAGTGTAAGCATTGGCCAGGTCCCCCCTCCCCCACCTGCAGTAAATGTTTACTAAATGATATTCAGCAATGTTTGGATTTTATTATAAACACTCATGACCACCTATGAGCTGCACTGCCAATACTAGTAATATTATTGTGGAATAGGAACCCATGATGGGGTATCAACTTAGAAAAAGCCATACAAAGTCATGGTGTATGAATAGAAATGTAATGCATGTACCAGAGGATTATCTATGCAATGTTATGCAAGTTACTGATTGTCTGCAGAAAGAAAAGCAAATGATTATGGTGCTTTCATCTCATTATTATTCTCTTTATTTTCTAGTTAAAGTACCGGACCAAGGGTGGTACTGGTTTGTTCTACACCAGGAATGTGGAGTTCAACCCTGCCTAAGACACCAGATCACTATCTATTGCTATCTTCCTTTTCATCATTTAATGTTAAGACCAGAATATTCGTACCTTGGTTTAAAATCTGACAGTGTATTATATATATATATCTACGCAAGTCAAGCCATTTCATCGTTGGCATTATAATGTTCTGTGTTATGATATCTAAAGACAAGTATATGTGTATGTGGTAGGATCAATTCTAATAAGACATACCTTAATATATTGGAAGGTTATAGATACATGCATTTTGACTGGAATCATTATGATCATGATAGAAATAACTTGTTACATCACTGTGTACAATTTTTTAAATATTATTGTCGTAAACCCAAGGTATTGCCTGTGTTGTACCATGTTTTTTGCATTCCTTTTGATACACATTAAAGACAAAACCTGCCATGCAATTGTCTATGTTGCCTTATTTTTATAGATAATCATAGTATGATTTCACAACAGTGGAAGCATTGGGATGACAAGCTAGAAGACAAGTATCATGTCAGACAAGTGTCCAATAATTTTCTGAAAATCATCCCAGTACCAAGAAATTTAATTGGAATGGCCTGAGTATAAATTAAGCATAAATATTTACATATTTTAACAGCCGGACATTGTAAGCATAAAAACTAAAACAAATTTCAGACTGAAGTAAACAAAAACGACAGCGAACAGTGTCACTGCGATGTGACCCTTGACCTATAATAGGGGACCGTCCATTCTTCAACAAGGCAGGGGTGGCACGTATTCTTCCGTGCAGCGAGCTTTCGTTGCGCGCAGCGAGGTCGCCGAGGAATCTCTTTCTGTGCAGGCGTGAGGAAGCTCTTGGCAGGCACGACGCAGGTATTCGTGCGCAGACGAGGAAGCTCTTTCTGTGCAGGCGTGAGGAAGCTCTTGGCAAACACGACGCAGGTAGTCGTGCGCAGACGAGGAAGCTCTTTGCAGACATGACGCAGGTATACGCGCAGGCGACGCAGGTGTGCGCGCAGGCGACGCAGGTGTGCGCGCAGGCGACGCAGGTGTGCGCGCAGGCGACGCAGGTTTGTCCTTGTCGGCCACGGTAGATAAAGACTTGTCAGTTGCTATAGTATAACCACCGAATAAAACCACCGAGTGAGCGCACCGTGTCACCCTGGTCTCCCTCAGTAGACATCGTCTCCCAGATACCTCTGACCCAGTGTTGACGTCACACTTCAAAGAAGCCACGTGACAAGTCTCACTGGGTCAGTCTACTGAAGAAGACCGGAGTGACTGCTCGAAACCTCTAGGTGAGAGAAATTTTCATGTTGGATCGAAAGTTTTAACTTTAAACAGAAAAGTTACCTGTATGTCGAAGCTCACGTCTTGAAAGTTGTCGAGTTGTTGGCTGACGATGTTCTTCAGGCCTCGGATGTGAAATAGGGAGTCGGACTTGAGGAAGAAGAAGACGTCTCCGCCTGTGTTGACGAACTTGGTGGAGTTGGGGAGGAGGTACTCTCCCTCCGGACGCTTCTCCAGGGTTACCTGACCTTTATGATTGAAGACGAACAACATTTTATTATGTTAGCATAAAGGTTCATCTGCGTTGGTAGACTTCATTATGACCAAAAGTGCTAAACGTTCTAGCCCACACTAAGTAAATCGGGACTCAGGACCGGATTTCTTCGCGAGAGGAGTAAAGGAGACGGTATACGTTCGGGCCAACCGTCCAACACTGAACAGAGATGGGAGGCGACACAGGTTATCTGACACGTACGACCACCATTTGCTGCAATCACATGTTACCGACGTCACGTCCCGGACGCTGCAGTAGAAGGGTCCATTCCGTAAACAAGGTGACGGAGTCCCAATTTACTTAGTGTGGTTAAAAACAATACGAAAGTCGCTGTACTTTTGTTGTGTCAAAAAATAAAGTTCTGACCGTTTTGCCAGCGTTCCCAGAGCTCCGGGTTGAAGGTGGCCACAGACCAGGTGCGCTCTCCCGCGTCGCTTCCGTAGTCCTGAGGCAGAACACAGTATTAATGAGCGACCCCTGGTCTATGACGCGGGTATAGAAAATAGTACAGCGAATTTTTTTGAAGACTGGGTGGAAAGCCCGATAAGAGCGTCAGCCAGATGTAAATTGTGCTATGTGGTGTAGGACTGTATCGGTTTCTAGACTGTATGATTTGAATTGTGAAGGTTTTGCAGTTCGTGTATAAATGCGCCGTATGACGCAACTGGCTTTCCGGGTGAGTCGGCTGCAGTTCAGGTCACGTCCGTAGAGGGCGATTTCAAATTGTACGTTACGAGCAGATACGCCGACAGGATTTTTTTGGTTTCTAGATACTTTGTAGTTTGTGCCTTCTTCTCAAACATATTCAATTTTCGTATTCGTGAAGCGCACCCTACTATAATTTTCACCGCGTCGAAGTGTGCCATATTTGGGGTCCTTAACTATAGAAATCCCCATAGGGCGAAAACTGTTCTTTGCTACTGTGTACCTGAAGCCTCCTGACCAGTGACAAGATGTCCTCCCGGTGCGGTGAGGCCCCCTTGCGGAACCTGACGGTAACGAAGGCCCCGTGTTTCGGCTTGGCGGCTAACAGACCGGGCTGCACTCGTCCGATCGGTTTGGAGTCGCACTCGTGTGCCTGCTGTTGGGCGCACCCGTTCTTGTGGACCTGTTTTTTTATTGAAACATGCAATGACAAAACGTGGTGGCGACACACTCAAGTTACACTTATATTCATGTCGCCACCAGACAATACGTAATACAAGCAAGCAAAGCACGAGTTTTCATACAGAAGTTGAATAGAACAATCAATCAATAAACTAGTGAAACACATACATAAACACCGACAGGATCGATCAAGACACTACAAAAAACGATTTGATTCTAACAAAAATGTAAGAACTTGTAAGAAAAAAACTGCCCTATTCTAAATTATATTATATAATGTGTCTTCATGAGATCTTTTAAATCTTTTAAATTTGTTAATTTTGTGTACTTCAGTTACAGTATAACTACGCTTTTAATATTGTACCTATATAGCTAATGTTTTTAGTATGAATATCAACTGTTGTTAATGGAACCCCCATGCAATTCAGTCTGTGACTGCCATGTGGGAACCATTGTTAGGAGTTTTACATGAAACAAATAAACCAGTATTAATTAAAAATGTCTGCACATGCGGCAGTATTTGGGTATTGTACATTGTTGACAGAAAAGATGAAGGTTGTGGACCTGTTGTTGTTGGGCGCCTCCGTTCCCGTTCTCGTGTCTCCCCCGTTTTGCAGGCGGCTCCTCATGTTGGGATACTGCCCGCCGGCTTGCCATTGCTAGTCGCTAGGTGTCGCCTTTCTCCTGCATGATACACAAAGAGGAGAGTGTTTCTCTTCTAGTGCGTGTGTGTGTGTGACAGTGCGTGTGTGTGTGCGCGCGCGCGTGTATGTATATGTGTGTGTGTGTGTGTGTGTGTGCGCGCGCGTGTGTTTGTGTGTGTGTGTGTGTGTGTGTGTGGACACGTGCGTGTGTGTGTGTGTGTGTGTGTGTGCGCGCGTGTGTGTTTGTGTGTGTTTAGTGTACATGGCTATGTGTGAGTGCATGTATGTACATAATATGAATTTGCATGTGTGTCTATAGAAAATAACCGAAAAGCGTTAAATTGTCAAATGTTTAGCAAATGTGAATTATCAAATTAGCAGAAAATGTGAAATCATGTGGAAAATCCATAATGGCGCAGTTAGCTGAGAATGTTAACTGGAGCGGAACGACATTTGGCTGACAACAAAAGGCCAGACAGGGTTCAGACAGTAGGCGACAGTCAACTGTTCCTTACCTGTTCAACGGGTCGTAACGCCCCCTTTTTACCTTCAGATACATCGTGAATCTAAGTACTAGTACATGTATATGAATGAACAAAACGTGTCAATGCTTTCTTGATACTAGGAATACTCTTGACTTGCTGTAAACATCGCCTTAAACAGAGCCCCGTGTTTTAAGAATCTTGGCTTTACCACGGCCTCTTCTCGTTGTACCTGTACGAACATTCTTAGTATCTGAATGGGACGTGAGAAAGACTACCGTTTCCCCGTCTATACACGCTCTACCCTAGCGTCTGGTACGGTTAAAATGCTCGCTTTTAAGTAGCCCCCTAGTTACCACATTGTGTAGTCTTGCTACAATCTCAATGAAGTATAAAGTAACGACCAAAATGTGGCTGAAGGTTAGACATCCAGGTAATAGGACACGCCAAAAAGCAGTTACTCAAGCAACTGGATATGATTTTGAACACGTCAGACGTTTCAGCTAGCTCTCTCAGTCACTGACGAAAGCTAGTGGATACTAGCTGAAACGTCGGACGTTTTCAAAATCATATCCAGTTGCTTGAGTAACTGCTTTTTGGCAAATTGAGCAAGTGTTTCACTCACCTGTAGAGTGTGGCGTCTTGTCTGACGTGGCCGGACGTGACTTCAGACACGCGTGTCTAACCCAGCCTAGCCTCCTGTGCAGGCCCCGCGGCGGGTGGGGAAGAGTTATTAACGCGTCATTTTAATTGAAATTGAAATACCTTTATTGTACATTCATGCCACGACGGGCTAGGTACAGGTCAAGATATAACAAACACATAACAAACGTATGTAGAAAAGTGTAGACAAAAGGTACACTACTTCCCTTAGACATACATACATAAGGAACATACAAGGATACTATACTAAGCTAATAGTGTTCTAGTTACTGAGCTAATACAGAGTGGTCAACTTCTCGCTTTTTTGTACAATAGCCGGCCGTCCTACAACCAGCCACCGGGAGAAGGTTCTATTCCGCTCACGATGGCTGGTTGTAGGTTGTAGGTGGCTGGTTGTAGGATGGCCGGCTATATTTTTTATTAAAATAACGCGTTAAAAACACTTTCCCATCCGCCGCGGGGCCTGCACAGGAGGCTAACCCCAACCCGTGCAACAGGTGGTAACGCCCACTGTTAAATATCCAAGCAGATCTCGGGAGGAAAGATCATGGCGCCATCTTGCTGTTTCTTTTGTTCTAACGCTGGAGAGTTTTTTTCAGCGATGCAGGTGTGGAAGTTGTGCGGCCGGAAAAGTCGCATTCTTTCCTTAGTAACACCTGCTTGGAGATTAAATTTGGCGTTCTTATGTATACAGAAACGTTGTAACAAGAATTAAGGTTATGTTTACCTTCTTACCTTCACAGAAGGAAAACGCTTTGTTTGTGCTTAGTTTATTCAAGGAGGTTTAAAGATCTTATTTTTGAACCTCTGTGGTTTCTTCTTCTCAAAAAACATCAAAGGTCAATGACCTGACGCAGACTCCTTTCACCATAGTAACTTAGCTGTAGCAGACACCCTGTGGTGTTTGGTTACATTATGTAGCAAAGTGCCAGAACAGAGTTCTTCCCAGTCCGTAAAATGAAAGTCAAGTTTATTGCTTGGAATTTGTAACAGATACAATGTAAGACAATGTGTTTGCAAGACTACTATATTAAACTAATTATATCAAACTAGTAGAATCTTCACACGTACGTCGATTCTGTGACATGCAATATTACAAGAATTATGGCCTACATATGTATTGCCTTAGATATACAGAAATTTTGTCAGGATATAACATTAAACGTCTCTGTACCTGTCTTGGGTAATGTTACCAGTCTTACATTTCCATTGATGTAAATCATTCTTCGTTACAAGTAGGACTTGTCATCAAGAAATACTACTCATCTTCAACACTTTCGTTGCACGTAGGACAAAGACTGGCTTGCTGGTTTATTATTGAGTTGAACTTTTTTTCAGTTTGTATTAGCTAGCTACAAAAGATTTATTTTGGACTGAAGAGACAGTTTTCAATATGAAAAGTCCGTTTTCATTTTTGAATATATTTCAAGTTTTTGCAACTTTTTTTGTCGCCAGCTGTCAGATAATCACTATTGAACAATTGCGAGAAAAGGCACATATTCAGATTTATCCCTTGCTCTAGATCTCCCCCCTCTCCATTCCCTCTCTTTACACGTAATTTTGCTTTTAGTCTTGTTCGGTTGAGTTGAGTTAGTCGGTGTCACGAAGATGATATTGTCAAAAGCATATTGTTAAGTTGAAACAGTATCATCCATACGTTCATATGGACCTCTTTTCTTATCACGAAGCCAGTAATAACACGCACATGCAAGAGAAACAAGAAAGGCAATAGACACAATGATAATCCCGACGAAGACTGCATAGAATTCCCCTGAAAAACATGGGAAGAATTGAATTACTTCTACTCTAGTAGCAAAAAAATGTATTTCGTCTTCGATTGTGCTAATATTCATGGTTGATTCATTTATCAATGTTGTGCACGAGCGCAGGAGATAGTGATGCCAGGTATCTACTGACAAACGATGCATTGCTACAAGTATTAAAAGCAACCTTGAAGACGTGTTGAATTTTACCACGTATCAGCTAGAACCCTTTATCTAAAACAAAAATAAAAAGCTCTTACACATTTAATACTAGTAAACTGGACAAAACGAGCTTTAAGAATGACCACTTACGTGTCCAAATACTGGATCCTGAGTTGCCAGGCACATTGTCCAAGCCAGCCTGTGCCTTCTCGAACTCCTCGGCGGTCCAGTCGAAGCCCCCACAGGTGGGGAATCCCGGGGGTGGGGGGTTCATCTGGTCCTCCGTCCCCTCCCGGAGCATCATGGCCATCCCCTCCAGCTGATGGATCTCGATATGACAGTGCACGAACCACCAGCCTGTATAGTAAGGAACATGGAAGAAACTTTTGGCTTATAAAGTTGAGTTGAAATTCCTTTGTCTATCTTGGCATTCATTTAAATGCGAAGTTAAGTGACAACGACTGTGTTCGAGTTGAAATTAGACGCCTAACACACTAATTGTATAAATCGTAAATTCTATCATTGTTCTCCCGTTGTGAAAAAGACTTTGTTCATGACCTACTGTTCTCAGTTGTTTGGAGTCCAGTTATGGAACTCTGTTCATGCGAGTGTACTAGCTAAGTGTCGTGTTGCATACAATAATTATTGCTTTCGTTTTCTCCTCGAGGTTGTAGTGCTAGTTCAATGTACACCTCTAGAGATCTCGACCGATACTTTCGATGCTAGACGCAGGAAAAGTGTGTGTGTGTGTGTTTGTGTGTATGTATGTGTGTGTGTGTTTGTGTGTGTGTGTGTGTTTGTGTGTATGTATGTGTGTGTGTGTGTGTGTATGTATGTGTGTGTATGTGTGTGCGGTGTGTGTGTGTGTGTGTGTGTGTGTGTTTGTGTGTATGTATGTGTGTGTGTGTGTGTGTGTGTGTGTGTTTGTGTGTATGTATGTGTGTGTGTGTGTGTGTATGTATGTGTGTGTATGTGTGTGCGGTGTGTGTGTGTGTGTGTGTGTGTGTGTGTATGTGTGTGTGTGTGTGTTTGTGTGTATGTATGTGTGTGTGTGTGTGTGTGTGTGTGTGTTTGTGTGTGTGTGTGTGTGTGTGTGTGTGTGTGTGTGTGTGTGTGTGTATGTATGTGTGTGTATGTGTGTGCGGTGTGTGTGTGTGTGTGTGTGTGTGTGTTTGTGTGTGTGTGTGTGTGTGTGTGTGTGTGTGTGTGTGTGTGTATGTGTGTGTGTGTGTGTGTGTGTGTGTGTGTGTGTGTGTGTGCGGTGTGTGTGTGTGTGTGTGTGTGTGTGTTTGTGTGTATGTATGTGTGTGTGTGTTTGTGTGTATGTATGTGTGTGTGTGTGTGTGTGTGTGTGTGTTTGTGTGTATGTATGTGTGTGTGTGTGTGTGTGTGTATGTGTGTGTATGTGTGTGCGGTGTGTGTGTGTGTGTGTGTGTGTGTGTGTGTGTGTGTGTGTGTGTGTGTGTGTGTGTGTGTGTGTGTGTGTGTGTGTGTGTGTGTGTGTGTGTGTGCGCGCGACGGTGTGTGCGTGTGTGTGTGCGTGTGTGTGTGAAGAGATTACATTACAATACTAGTATTAGCATATGTGGCACGTATATATATATAGCGAGAGAGAGAGACAGAGAGATTACTGCAAAGATTACCTGGATTGTCTGCCCGGAAGCGCAGCACCACGTACCCTCCCACCGGCACGATCACGGTGTCCTTCAGGGGAGGGTTCTCGGTGTTCAACCCGGGCTTTCCGCCGTTCTGCCAGGAGGGGTTCGTCCATTTCCTGCCGTTCGTTCATTTTCAGTCATTCATTGGCACAAAATGTACACAAATAAGTAAATAGATATATAAAAAACATCCTGCAGGAATAGAGATGATGCCTACCAGGCTTATAGAAAGCCCTCCTGTTGTAAACTCAGCACAGTCATGAAACTAGTATGATTATTATAAAATAAATTACCGGAAACGAAGTTTCTGCACAAATCAAGCATCTACACAAATCAATGGAAAGCAAAAGTAATCCATTTCCGACAAAAGAACATTACAAGACTTAAGATCAATACACTACTAAGTACTAATACAACCGAAATACTACACAAATGAGAGGAACAAGGTACAACCTGCCGTTGCAAGTCTGATTGTCCGCACAGTCGATGTCTGTGCTTTGGTTGAGAAACCTGCCCGTGGTCTTATTGTACTCCGGGAAGCCCATGTCCAACACGTAGAAGTGGTGACCGTGGATGTGCACGGGATGGGCAGTGCCGTTGATACCGCCTCCTACGAGTTAAAAACAAACAATTTCTCTTTGATGAGGAAGAGGTGTTTCCTTTGGGACTTAGCACTGTTTCAATGTCATACTTGCCTTACTTTTGAACTCTGTGACGTGTTATACAGTTCACCCTTTATCAACATGTTTTTGCTCAGTTTCTTCTTCTCCAAACACTGACCTCAATTACCTGAACCAATGGCGTGTCTGTTACCATAGTAACTAGTGTTGGGTTACACCATGATGCAATTTTATAGCAGGACTCCTGTCTGACCATGTATATGAATGTGTTTGAGTAAAAATTAACAGAGCAGAACCAGACCATATGCGAAGGTATAAACATTATGCATTTGCCTTGCAGATCAGCTTCCTAGTTAGTTTTAGGCTAAATGTGTACGGTAAGGTGTAACTCACCCGTCCCCATATTGTAGAGAACCAGTTGTACGACGTTGCCATGGGTGATGTTGATATGATAAGTACATTCACAGAACTTCTCATCGCTGCACTCGCTTTTCAGGCATGGGGTCATACCCAGACCTTTGCGGTCAACCTGCAGCCAATCAACAACAAGTAAATATTGCACATGATTATCACATACTATAGCCAGGCCGTGTGGACCAATCACCAGCCTTCAGTTACATATTGGTTTCACACCCATAACGTCTCCAGAATAGGTTAATTATGGGTTAATGACCCCCTTCGAGGTGTATATGGTGTGACAAAGCCTTCTTATATGTTGCTCATAATCAGGTGTTATAACCACCGAATAAAACCGCCGAGTGAGCGAAGCACCTTTACAAGAGGTCCGCATCTATTAGTCTCTACCAGGCTTCTGGAGGCGGCTGGAAAGAAAAATAAAGAGATAACATGCCAAGGGTGCGGCAAACTGTACTCTCTAGCGAACCAACTCCCCAGCAATGTTATCTCTCTATTTGGACAATCTCTACTCTTTCAGGCCACCCCCCAAAGCCTGGTAGAGGCTAATCGTCTATACCGACAACGCCATAAAGAAAACGTACCGCTGGAGGAGCGCTGGGAGGAATGAACCGATGCCCGTTCACGGAGGATCTCTGGGCTCCATCCAGATCGTTGCCGGCGAAGTGAAAGTTGATGAAGTGTTCCTCCCACTTTCCCAGCTCGAACTCTGGCACACTTGTGTTAGGCTGCATAGATCTGAGCTGGTTCACGTTGACACACTGGGTAAACGTCGAGGATATGTAGTTCCTGTTCAAACATACGGATGAAGGGCATTTATTCCACATCTATCTATCTATCTATCTATCTATCTATCTATCTATCTATCTATCTATCTATCTATCTATCTATCTATCTATCTCTCTCTATATATATATAAAGCGAATCGAAGGTGTTTTACATGATGAAAACATCAGAATTCACATGTAAAACGTCGCCATTTAATCGTGTATTACACACTTCCTGAATTTCTCCCCATACCACACGTTCCGCCTCGTGCTGGGTCTAAACTGGGTCAATCAATTGTCAAAATCACCTCCCATCCTCGAGGCAATAATCGCTACTTGGATGAGATGAAACAATCAAACTCACAAGTCAACCAATGACTGGATGGGAACAGGCTACCACATTGTAACCAACGTATTCACCATAACTGTTACATTTTGCTACTCTAAAACAAACAGCACAGGGTACTTTTTAAGTTTTATGAAAAAAATGGACGTACTGGAACGGGCAGTTCACCACAGTGCAAGTATTGGTGTCAGTACAGGTCCTCCTGGAAGTGGTTGGGTCTTGGTTTTTGTCAGCACCTTCGTAGCGCAGGATGGCCATCGCCGAATGGGGACGCACTGGTTTCTGGGAACATTAATTTGGATAATTCTAAAAATCACCAAAAGATAATAATGACAGACGTGCGTACTGAATGTCAACTACTATACGCGTGCTTGGACATTTCAAAAATCCATTCGGCCTGATTTCCTAAAATCCTTGGAGCAGGGATATGATATACCACTAAACGTTGAACCTTAAAACTTCACATAAAACAGAACCCTCCGAAACACTTGAGTGCCACGCGAAAATTATCTTTTCTTTTTTTTCGCATAATTACCTATATTTCATATTTACGCCGGACGCTGTTTGAATTTTGAGCTACGTATATTTATTTATTTATTCTTTAATTCAGGCCCCTGGCCCATATCACATTGCGAACAGACAGACAAAAATAAATGGAGGCGTGGTAACAAACACAATAAATAATACCTCGATAATCTAGCTATACCTAAAGAAAATAAACTACTTAAAAACTAGGTTAATGTAATGCCTCCAGAATGTGCTGAGGTAGTAGCCGGCAGAGTGAACTAGCGTAGAGATGATCGTATTGTCACTATGAAGTAGCCGAGTGACAAAAGAATACAATTGTTCCCTTCGTCTAGCGTCAAAAGTGTCGATTCCGAGGTTGGCAAATAACTGGCTGTTGCTAGTGCTTCTGCTTACAGAGAGTAACAGCTTCAAGGCGCTGTGGTACGCCACTCGAAATCTATAGATGCAGTAGCTTTGTAATTAGGAATAGAAATATGTATTTCTACAATTAACACTTCGCTCTACAGGATATTCGTATTTAATAAGACGTTAATGTATATTCGATGCCATTTTGCCGCAGTGTACTCTCTAGCGAACCTACTTTCCTGGCAAGTTATCTATTTTCTACTCATCCCCGAAGCCTGGTATAGAGGCTACGATGCCACCACAAAGAGACAAAAGCGATCGACCCTACCCCGTAGATGTCGGTCGTCTCCAGTGTTTCAGCGCGGATCCAGTAGTTGCGGACCGGCTGGTTTGCGGTGATGTAGAAGTCGTACCTCTCACCCGTGTTGATGATAAACGACTCAGCAGGCTGTCTGGAAATTCTTTATTTATGCGAGAAAAACAAGAGATCGGATATTTCAGACATCCATGACGTATGTATTCCTCGGCTTCCTGAATCCCCCCATGTGGACCCCTAATTCTTGCTGGCCCCGGCCAGATTCTGAGATCTTTGACCTACTGTCATTCAACTACCACCACTCACCAACACGCACGCACACACACACACACACACACGCACACACACACACACACACACACACACACACACACACACACACACACACACACAGACACAGACACACACACACACACACACACACACACACACGTGCTGCCAACCTACTCTGTCCAAACAAACAAACAAACAAACAAACAAATTAACAAACAAACAAATTAACAAACAAACAAACTAACAAACAAACAGACCAACACAAACCCACAGCTCAGCCACCCAAAACAATACTTCCTTGGCTTGACTTGGATTTATATTACTACTTATGGTTCAACCACGTGAGTTCTGTATTGATGCCTTATAGCCCATATGGGCTGGGAACAATGTCGCAAGACGATATTCATTCATTCATTCATTCATTCATTCATTCATTCATTCATTCATTCATTCATTCATTCATTCATTCATTCATTCATTCATTCATTCATTCATTCATTCATTCATTCATTCATTCATTCATTCATTCATTCATTCACTTCCGTACCCAGAGATAATGAATAGAAAAGTTTTAAGTTGCATTTGCCAGCGGTTGTACGCCCTGACCTGTTGCCGTCTGTAGCGATCATGGTGAGCTCGTGCTGGTCGATGGAGACCCGGTACGCGTAGATCATCGCTGCACTGATCACCCGGAACCGGTAGTTGTCGCCTTGACTCACCTCAAACACCTCCAGGGGCACGTCTGTATTCTCAGCCTCTCCGAAGTCATCAAATCTACGGCCTATAGACAGATAGATAAGCAAAGCTTCACCGATTTCTTAAGATCCTTGTCCTTCTGATGCTCCTTGGTTGTCCATCGTTGTCGATGATGACTATCAGTGTTCATAAAAACGATCAGGTTACTGCAAGGAATTGTTATTCTTTGAAATAGCTTTTACTGGTTTAAACACTGACGAAAAACAAGAAAGTCTCAAAAAGATTTCAGACAAGAGGGAAGTATATATTTTGGGGTTTCGTGGCCTTCAAGTTAAACGCACCCACCATTTCCGGTGACTGACATTTGACCTCCTGTTTTTACCTGCCAATCTCCCCACCCACGTGTTATCAAGCTACTTTCAAGGTATCAAGTTATCAAGCTAATAGTGAATCTGTCCCTTGGACCGCCTGTCCTATCAACCTACTCTGTCTAAACACATGCATAAATCTACAACTCAGCCACCCAAAACGATACTCCTGTACCCGGAAGTAGTTAGTTTGAACTAATAACGGTTACCTTTGCCGTTGATGAGCCCCGACACAAACGGCACCGGCCCGATCTCCGTCCCGTCAGCCTGCCGTTTGTTGTAGTAGCAGTGGGTGTAGTTGTCGTACCCGAAAGAGAACCTGGCAAGAACGAGACATCAGGAATGAAGACCTGTAAAGCTAAAATAGCAATCTAAAATAGATTCTTTAAAGACACAGGAGCGTCTACAACTTTTCATAGACGGACGTAGATACAATTACTTAACATAGTAACTACTGTATATACTTGTATTTAAGTTTATCAAGCTCTTAACATTCTCTAAGTAATTACCTAAGTATGTAAGTAGTTTGAACACTGAAAAGACCTGTAAGAATTGTTTTCTCGTATGATTTATTTCTTGCCATTGTAATGTTGAGCTCGTGATCCGATTCCGTGAAGATCGAAATGATTGAATTAAAGGCTAGTGCCCCTAAGGCATAAACATATTGATGAGTTATATGCGTATGATGTGAAATTCTATGCGTGAAAAGTCGAAACGATTATACCTCGATGCTTCCCATTCCACCCTCAGATACGTGTCTAGGGAATCCTCCCTCTCCCAGTCTTGAACCAAGACAAGGAAGTCATTGGAAAACACCGGCAGGTCTGGCTGTGGAATTGGAGTTGGAAAAGAAGCCCAAAATTACACACACACACACACACACACACACACACACACACACAGACACACACACACACACACACACACACACACACACACACACACACACACACACACACACACACACACACACACGCACGCGAAAGTTCCCGGTGGTAATAACTGTTTAAATTCTAATCCTACACCGTACCTCCTCCTCCTCCAGTACGATGAGCGCTCCGTACAGTCCATCAGTCCGGAAAGTTCCGGAGTGGGCGTGCCACCAGTGGGTCCCGCCTTCAGAGGCGTAAAACCTGCACAGAGAAACGACAAGCTGCTGTTTAAAGAGATCGCGTTATGTAAAACCACGAGCATTTGTAGACAACATTTTGAGAGTCATATATTCTTTAAAAGTTTTGGATTCGGGCAGCTGCACAAGTGCAGAGGAAAAGATGAATTTGTTTATTTGGATTTTCACAATGTGAAGGAGGGGGGGCAAAATAATACTTTATTACTAAAATAGTATAATAACGGCAATGCCACGCCTTATCCTCGGTGTATATGGTGAGATAATCCCTGGTCAGGTGCGATAACCACCGAATAAACCACCGAGTGAGCGTAGCACATGGAGCGAAGCGGACTCGATGGGTTATTCGGTGGTTATCGCACCTGACCAGGGATTATCTCACCATATACACCACGGGGCGGGCATTAACCCTTTGTTAATGACTAAATCACTGTGGGCCTACTTGTCCACAGGTTTACCATTAGCTACGAGTTGATATATATCAGCTCGATTACCTGTAAGTGAAGCTCTCTCCCGGGTTGATAGGGCAGTGCGACACGCTGCCCACCCCGTCCATCCAGTGGGTGTTTTGTTGGGTCATACCGTGCCAGTGGATGGTGATGCCCTCCTGTATCAGGCTGTTGGTCACGTGGACCGCCACCTTACGGAAGAGGACAAACGATGTAAGCCATGTTCCATATACTTGTATATTGTATCGCCTTTATGAAATAATATAATGTTTGTCTCGATACATGGAACTTAGAATCATTATTGTAGACATTAAGGTAGATATCAGCTAGATATGTAATACCTCTGTCACCATTTTAATGACGTATGTTGTACCCCGGGACCTTAGCATCTATAACGTCTACAAAAAAAAAAAAAAGAACTTTGGCCAGCGTTAGAACCCCCCTCCCTCTACATTGTCACCGCTGAAATCTCCACTGTACAAAAAGGTTCTGAATATACCTGCTTATTTTTCCAGACGACTATGGATGGCCCTGGCAAAGCCTTGTTGACCAGCGCAACTCGTGTATGAGACCCGTCTGCTACCACCACGCTGCCGTTCATTACCTCTGCAAGGTAACATAAAACAGGTGGATAAGAAACCTACTTTTGCTAGAACGTGTTAAAAGTAAACATGCACTCCATGAGCTTTTAAAAGTTTGTCACTTTACAGACATTCACCTATAGAACTTCTGTACCGTTTATTCTTACTAAGAAAAAAATATTTGTTGTATGTATGGTGAGCAGACTCTTTAACTCTGTTCTGCTACAGAATGTAACTCAACATCACAGGACGTTGCTACAGCACCGGTTACCATGGTAACAGACATCTGGTTCAGGTCATTGACCTTACGTGTTTGGAGAAGAAGAAGATGAAGAAGACAAAGAAAGTGAGTAAAAACAAAATGTTTTCCAATAGAAAGCCTATTGAATTTGGTGTTCTCTATGAGTGGACTTGTTATCAGTCATCCTTTGACCCGACGAAAGTACGAGGTCATCGTCAAGGCACCAATAGACAACGCCTCCAAATCAACGTTTTATTACACCGCAAAATAAACGAAAAACAAGATTACGGTACATGGTAAATGTAACCCGGGAAAGTCAATATATCGACGTGAATGGTGGAGGTTACCATTTATATGCTTTCCCTGTCAACATGGCACAGTAGGAAACGTGATAGTTCGCCAGACAAACATTTTCTGCAACTACACGCCTCATTTTATCTCGGTCACTGCACTCTCAGAACCCCGTCCAATGCAGCAGTAGATTTCCAGGCGAAGAAAAAAACCCCGACTATATGGAGATTTCAAATAACGCCAGCGACCTTTGCGATCAACAAAGTCGACTGAAGGTCATTAATCGATAGTTTGATGCTGCGCTTCAATGACGTCATACTGATCGAAATGGGCAAAGAGCGTTACAATAATGTTTACCTGAGTCACGTGACTCCGCGCTCTGGCCTTCTTAGAAATCACCTAGGCCTGATATAACGGACTTTTGGCGGGAACGCGCGTACATGTTGCCTGCCGACGGGTCCAATTTATTTTTTTTTAAATATCATACTAACTGTTACATGCGACCTAGTGTTTAAAATACTTAGAGCTGTGCCTGTTGATTAGAATTTCTCGCTACTGACAGATTATTCCTGTTGTTAATAAGAATATTATTGACAGGTTGTTTTGCAAGGTAACCACTCAAAGCCGATTGATGCCGATTCAAAGCTATCCATGGGCTTCCTGCACGATTCGCACATAGCATGTGTCTGTCGGTATAGACAATATACTTTGTTTGTTTAGTATTTACAACACGAGGCACATGTCATATGATGAACCCATGACAAGTTTACTGCCAGGCTGTTAATACAGTCTGCGATCCATGGAATGCACACCTGGCACGGACGTTTGTTTATGAACCCAGGTGAAGTGACGCATTAAGTCTAAACACCCCCTGTGATATACTACACATATAAAAACGTACATGCAGACACACGCATGCAGAGACGCACACACATACACGCACACACACACACACACACACACACACACACACACACACACACACACACACACACACACACCACACACACACACACACTCTCTCTCTCTCCCTCCCTCTCGCACGTACAAACATACAGAGAAATACACACGCACACATGAACAAACAGAAGGAAACACCTTCTGGAGTCATAGGGATAGTGTTGTTGCAGTTTTCCGGATCGTCGCGGTCGGTGTCCCTTCTCTCGAACTGGCCCAACCCCGTCAGCCTGACCGGGGTTCCCGCCTTGTTCTTCTCGTCGTAATAGAACATGGTCTCCCAGTGCCCAACGTCCCAGTAGAACTCGTACACCGTCTTATTGTTGGGGGGAGGTTGGACGTAATTGACGAAAGGGACCGCCTCTCCCAGGTACAACATCAGACAGAAAACTGTAACGCACTTCAGAAACATCGACATCCTGTAGGTTTGCAGAATTCTGGCGAGTCATGAAAAACCACCCAACCGTTACAAGTTCAACAAGTGGTCTTTATGGTCTTAATTTATGGTCTTAATGAGAGACTTTATGGTCTTAATGAGAGACTAGTAAACAGTGTTGATCAGAATCGACCAGCACGAGATAAGGCAAAAGATGGAATTTGAACTGTGGCTATGTAGGGCGAATCACGAAATGTAACGTTTACATTATGTATTACTAGTTTAGGCCATGTTGATTTGATTATATGGATGACATCCTCTGGGAACCCCAAAACTGATGCGCGCGTGCGAATAAAAAAAAAAGTTTTGCAAAAAAAAAAAAAGTTGCTTTCACTATGAAATCTACGTGGTCATGAAGGTTGAACACATGGCACAGAATATGTTATGGCGAATAATCTACTCTTCTAATTCATTTCTTTACATTTTTGTCTTTTTTCCTTTGATTTTGGCATTCTACGACATTGGTATCGTTTCTAAATGTTTTCCTCGTAACTTATGGTATATTTTTGCTCATTTAGCAACTGTTTTGCACGATTTACAGTATGGTTGAAAACTTTTTTTTTTTTTGGAAACGGCCGAAAATTCATGCGCGCGCGGATGTCATCCATATTATCAAATCAACATGGCCTTACGTGCACACTATAGTGTCAACAATGGTCCGCCAACAATTGTGATATACCTGTGACGTATATTCTGTTGACAGTTTCCTTGTTTACTGGCCATTTTTTGGCCAACTATAAATCTACCTGCCAATCCTCGCCCACCCACTTGCTGTCAACAAACAAACAAACAAACAAACAAGCAGCCACGTACTGTCCAGACAAAATTTTACAACAAATCCACCCAAAAATATTTCCCCCCTTAAACGTAACGAAAGAAAAGTTATACTCTAACGAATCTAGCTATAGCAACACTTAGTACTGCCCTACAAATATCTGCCACTGTCTGAGGGTATACGAGAAAGTAACGAGTCCGCTTACGTCTTTGAGCATTAATACTATAACAAGTATATAAAATTTTAACATGTTTAATAACTATTGTCTATTTTTATGCCATACATTGTTTTATGAAAAAAAGGTATAGTTCTAGTTCGCTATGAAAGGAAACTACACTACAGGTACAACGTCACTTCCGGATCCTCTTTGTACGCAGTGTTCTACGCGTCGCCGGTACCAACGTAATTAGAACATAACGCGTGTTCCATTTCGGGTATTATATTAACACACACACACATCTACTTCGTTTAGTTTACACGTCTTTGGGTGGCATTTTAGTGAACTAGCTAGGTAGATAAAATGTAAAATTTCTAATGACTAATGTCTACTTTGACGTATATTGTTTAATGAAAAAAAAAGGTTCTAGTTCACTATGAAAGGAAACTACAGGTACCACGTCATTTCCGGATCCTTCTTGTACGCAACGTTGGTCTTCCCGGCTTTTGACGCGTTCCTCTCCCATCCCCGTCTGATCCTGTCCACGCGAGAACTGACGCACGGCAGGAGCATAGCAACATCGCGCACAGGGACAACCGTCTTAACAACCGAATTATGTTAGGTCTGACGTAATTTGAACAGAACGTGTGTTCCATTTAGAGTCGACTTAGTTGGATTGTGTCCTACGGACCCCTGGCTAACTAGGTTCACCCTTGACTAACTAGGTTTAAGTCAATGTTACATTGTTCTATGAAAAAAGCTTCTAGTAATTCGTTATGAAAGGAAACTACGCTACAGGTACGACGTCATTTCGGGATCCTCCTTGTACGCAGCATTGGTGGCGGCGCCGGAACCCCGGGCTTTGGTTCCCTTCCGTTCCCAGCCTCGCCTGATCCTGTCCACGCGAGAACTGACGCAAGGCAGGAGGGCAACAATCTTCAGCAGCAGCAGAACCGCACAGAGGAATAACTTTCTTTAGAACCGAATTATGTTAGGTCTGACGTAATTTGAAAAGAACGCGTGTTCCATTTAGAGTCAAGTTGGATTGTGTCCTACGGACCCCAGCTGGCTCGTGTTTCATTTCGCTAGGTTTAAGATGCTTAATAACTAATGCGTACTCAATGTTACATTCTTTTATGACAAAAAAAAAGGTTTCGTTATGAAAGGAAACTACGCTACAGGTACGACGTCATTTCGGGATCCTCCTTGTAGGCACCGTTGCTCTTCCCGGTCTTCGGCACGTGCCTCTCCCAGCCTCGCCTGATCCTGTCCACGCGAGAACGGACACACGGCAGCAGCGTAAGAATCTTCAGCAGCAGCAGAACCGCACAGAGCGTCAACCTTCTTTACAACCGAATTATGTTCAATCTGACGTAATTTGAACAGAACGTGTGTTCCATTTAGTGTCAAGTTGGATTGTGTCCTACGGACCCTTGGCTCGTGTTTCATTTCACTGCTTAATAATGACAATGACAATAAGTAATGTGTACTCAATGTTACATTCTTTTATGAAAAAAGGCTTCGTTATGAAAGAAAACTACGCTACAGGTACGACGTCATTTCCGGATCCTCCTTGCTGTACGCAGCGTTGGTCTTCCCGGCTTTGGGCGCTTTCCTCTCCCAGCCTCGTCTGATCCTGTCCACGCGAGAACTGACGCACGGCAGCAGAGTCACAATCTTCAGCAGCAGGAGAACCGCACAGAGGGTCAGGTCGATGTAGAAAGCCGGCGGGGTGTAGCTGGTGAACAGGTACGACTCTATGAACATCTCCGCGACGTAGACCGAGCAGTGCGTGACGGCGAAGAGAAAAACCGTCCAGCCGAGCTTGGACTGCACGAAGTTGAACTCTCGCCAGTTCATGCTGCTACCGACGGAGGGGATGGACGCCACGCCGAGCACCGCCATGAGGAAGAGCGCCAGCGTGCCGAACAGGAGGAAAGTCTCCCCGCTCCATCGCATCATCCCGTACACGACATCCCCGTTGGCGTTCACGGTGGTCTTCTCGAAGAGGCGGTCGTAGCCGTAAGCTGGGCTCCACTCCAGGACGCTGAGACAGGCGTGGATGGAAGCGATGAAGAGGCACAGAAGGCCGAGCTGCTTGCGCGCACGCATCCACTTGTCGAGCCAGTTCGGGAAACGCTTGTACTTGGTGCCGTTGTAGAGTTGAGCAAAGCTGGCCAGAACTCCTGGCGTGTAGACCAGGCATAGGGTGGTGATGGCCGTGTCGCCTAGCGCTCTGTTCACCTGTTAAAACAAAGTTCAATGTTAAGAAGGATTTTATAAGTATATACAGCTTTTATACAACAAGTTTATGAGATAATTTTACAGTTGTAAGGTATAACTGATTGATGTTATGTTATGCTACACTCAATTCAGCTATCTAAATTGACATAGCTGCTTATTTGAGACAACTGTAAACTCTCTTTCTCTCTCTCTCTCTTCGCTCTCTCTCTCTTCCTTTCTGTCCCTCGCTCCCTTTCTCTCTTTATCCCTCTCTCTCCCTCGCTCTTCCCTCTTCCTCTCTCTCTTTCTCTCTCTCCCCTCTCCCTTCCCTCCCTCTCCTCCGCCCCTCTCTCTCTCTCCCTCTCTCCCTCTCTCCCCCTCTATCTAGCCATCTCTCTACCTGGTGTATCGGGATGTGTGCCGCATAGTTGTCTCCTGACGTGACTGCGTAGAACAGCACGCCGCAATAGACGTTCCACAAGACGTAGAACGTCAGCACGCCGAGGAAAGACTACGACTAGAGACGGGGAGAGTCTGGAGCGAGAGAGATGGGGAGAGAGAGAGAGAGAGAGAGAGAGAGAGAGAGAGAGAGAAGAAGAGAGGGAGAGAGGGAGGAAAGAGATAGTGAGAGAGGACGAATGTATCGGGTGTACCTGGTGTATCGGGATGTGCGCTGCGTAGTTGTCCCCGGACTTTACTGCGTAGAACACCACGCCGCGGTAGACGTTCCACATGACCAGAGAGAGAGAGAGATAGAGAGAGAGAGAAGAAGAAGAGAGGGAGGAAAGAGATAGTGAGAGAGGGAGAATGTATGGGGTATACCTGGTGTATCGGGATGTGCGCCGCGTAGTTGTCCCCGGACTTGACTGCGTAGAACACCACGCCGCGATAGACGTTCCACAGGACGTAGAACGTCAGCACGCACAGGACCATCTTGAGCGCCAGGTGCCAGGACGGCAGCAGCCTCAAGGGCATAGCCTCGATCTCGCGAGCCGCCCGCAGGCTCCCATAATCCACCGCTGCGAACCGCATGTCCTGCGCGAGTTGCATGACGGTCCTCCGGGCCTCGGCGTCATCGCTACTGATGAAAACCTGGAATGATATATAAGGTCGTCTTTAAAACTATATAGTGGGTCGTCTACATATTTCTTACAATAACACCTAGCTCCAGTACTAGACTAAGTGTACAGCCATGATACATAGGACAGTCTATAAAACTATATATTGGGTCGTCAATAAAATTACAAATTACATATTTCAGTAACAAGACTGGGGTCCCACCCAACAAGACGGCCCCCAGTCTTTTTCGTTGCGGACTTTCGGAAGCCGAATAGAACACAACAAGACAATTAAGATTCCAGGCTACTGGGATCGAAGTTCACATACACTGACTACTTTTTAACGGTTTGCTCAGTGTAAAGCGAAAAGGGACACTTCACTGAATTATCACTCACTTCAGCAGCACTTCTCCCTAAGTCAGAAGCTTAGGCAAGTTTGACTAACTCTTGGGACAATTGCCGATGAATTGGCTATATTCCGATTACATACGAATTAAGAATACGAATTAAGAACGGTTTCTTTATTACCTCCTTTGATCCTCCGAACAGGCCCGACTCCAGAGACCAGGCGGAGACGACGTTGAAGCCCTTCACCACAGTGGAACCCGGCAGGAGCCGCGCGAGGTACTCCGCGTTAGACTCGCCATCCTTCTTCAGCTGTATACAAATGTGTTAGATACAGTCAGATTCAAGGAACGTTGTTATGCCTGTTTCACATAGTTGCGCTCAACAGGATGGCCAATCAAGATTTGAAACAGGGACTCCTATCTTCCACTAAACTACAGGCTGTTGGATCTACATGTTTACACAGGTTTTGTAGAAACAACCAATTTTGAGTGTTACGTTGAGCATTACTCCATCTTTTCTATTGAGAAAATTATATACAATCAACTATGTAGAGGAAAATAGCATCATATAATTACCAGACATAAGTAACCGATAGGACGAGACGACGTCAATGTGTTTTGTGATGTAATGTAATATTTCCGAAGTTTTCTATTAGGCCACACCGACTTAATTCTATGGATGACATCAGCGCGCGCATTGATTTTCGCCTGTTCTAAAAAAAAAGATCACGAACACCGAGGGCGAGGCTCTGGCCTGGCTCTAGGACTGGGTAGTCCATGGTAGTTGGTAGTTAGCGACAATGCAGATCTGGGCACCCAGGCTACCAAAGCTCCACGACTCAAGAACTCAGTATATACGTACAGTGCCGATTCATAAATTCCGCAAAAAGCCATGTGCCGGCTTGTACTGCCGCAAATTCACAATACCAACTTTGCACTTCTGTGCTATAGTAGCATTTTCATTTTTGGCCGGAATTTTCTTTTATTCGCCCGCGCGCACTAGTTTGGGGGTCTTCAGAGGATGTCATCCATAAAATTAAGTCGGTGTGGCCTTAGGGGAATGAAGAAACTCTTTCTGTATAAATACAGATGGTGACGAACCTTGGTGTTGTTGCTGACGTCGATGAGTATCTTGCCGGCCAGCGCGTCCCTGTCCTGCTGCAGGTCGGGGTAGTTCTCCCGGTGGACGGCTACGAACACCAACCGGGCTCCGGACAGGGCCGCCTGACGGGTCGTCACTTCTGCACCCTGCAGGGGAAACATATGCCAGATGGCGTTACCAACCAGAAGCCACCGTTTTATATTGACTATCTCCCGATGGACGGCTACGAACACCAACCGGGCTCCGGACAGGGCCGCCCGACGGGTCGTCACTTCTGCACCCTGTAGGGGAAACACAGTAAAACTTAGAAGACTTCGCGGTGACATAATCCAGCTAAATGCAAATCTATGCGTTAACCATATCTAGACTGGGGAGGGGGGGGGCGCTAAAAGTGCCCGCGCCAACTTTGATGTCGGATAGCGCCCGAACGGCTTGCGCTAGAACCACCAAACTTGTATGTAAATAATGTTTCAATTTTGATGTTGTTTGTATGATGTATATCTATCTTGCCAATGAAGAAAATAAAACACCTAAAGGGGGCTCGAAAGAAACCCGCTGGAAACTTTCTTCGAATTCACGTCAACCGAGAGCTCAACAAGATGCCACACATACAAGCTCAAAGTCGCATTATCCAGAAACAGTGGCCAGTCTTGACTTCTGCTTGGACCGTCTATCTTCTCTTCTCATTCATTACAAATTAACATGATATTGTGGAAGAAAGCATTGCACTTAAGTCTGTTATCACATGAAAGCCATTAAAGTTATCATATCTTATCATAGCCAAACTAATAAATAGATATCAAATCTGTATCTTTATCGGTATAGCCAGTATAACCGCCATTCGGCGTAACACACCAGCTTAGCAGGCACGCGGCGCGGCGGCATCTGGCAACATCACAACGAACGACGTGTTACACCTAACCCTTGAACATCTAACCTGTATCTGTATCGGTATAGCCGGTATAACCGCCCTTTGGATACTAGTAATCACTAATGGTATTGGGATTCTCCCTTTGATAACGCTTCAAACGTTTGTTAAAGTAGTCTCCATAGCAGTTTCCTTGGGAAGCCTTTGGTATGTTGTTTGTTACTGATTACGTATTGTTTTTAATATACTATAGTGATCTGCGGAGTGTTCAAAGGCTAACAGAACTGCCTGACAAGTTGTCAAACATTCCAAAGCCCGTAGACATGTTTTTGAGGGGTAGGGCCAAAATACCTGAGTGGCCGCCATGTTGCTGTGTTACAATGTTATCAACAAGTGATTTATAAAGGAGAACTGTTTGAACGAGATGAAAGTGTGTGTACAATGGGAGTAACCGGGTTATGAAAGGCAGAGTGTCCAAAATGTAGGAAACCGGCAATAACACAGATGTATCTCCACGCATACACATATCGTATACGTAGCATTGGGTAGTCTTTGCTCTATTTGCTACCTTATCTTTGTTAGCTAGAAACAAAACAAAACACAGCACTGACAATACTGCTACTGTTATTCTATAGGTTTACAACAAACTTCAACATTTGTTTTCAACAAAGAAAAATAGAAAATTGATGACAACACTGTTAGCAATGTAAGAGCCCGACCAAATTCGTCGCAGGCCTTCGTGCGATTTTGCTGTCGTAGATTTGACTTTTCGGTAATGATACAGCCGTAATCTGTTCGAAACGTGCACGACTATCTCACAAATATGCCCACAGTTTGCGATCGGACATCGACGAGTGTGACTACGCTTGATTCTAATACCATGGTTATACTATGACAATGAACTTCATTGCATATTCAAGCCCGACATGGGCCAAATGCACTAAGTTAGATAACTGAGGTACAAGGATGCAAGTGTAACATTGCTGTGCTACGTACACATCTCTTCTCTCTTACAGCAATACTGCAACATTCTGTATTATAAATATTCTGCAATATTCTGCCATCCGAATGCCATGATTCTATTGCATTAGAAATATTCATCAAATCAGAAAAGCCAATCATGCAACGCCAGTCTCATCTAGCCTCCGTAGCAGGCTTATAGACCTGGGGGTTTGGTGGTCTTCAGCTGTTTTCTGTTATTCTAACGGGTGTGGTAATTCAACCAGGCCGGCTATGTTGTCTATATGCAATCAGAATATAGCACATAAAAGCTCCCAAAGCCCCCCCCCCCAGTTTTAGCATGCTATGGAGGTTTAAGTCTCACCTGAGGAAAGAGGCGCCGGTTGCGGTCTGGATCCCGGCTCCCCACAACCACGGCAAAGCCCGATCGCACGAGTCGGCCCGCCAGAGACCGGCTGTAGTCTCCGCTGCCGAGAATCGCCACAGGAACTTTCGAGGCCTCCGACGTCTTCCCTTCGTCTTGCCCGGATTTAAAATCACGTTTTGGCTCCATGGGTATAGACCCTCCGTTTTGCTCCACTTTTGTATCCATTTCGTTTGTATATAAAGTTTGTGTAACACACGTCTAACGCCTGGTTGTTATCAGACAGTTGTGTAACGTCGTCGTTACTAGACCGTGATGATGTAACCCACTGGCCTCACAAGCCTGGCTATATGGATAACGTCACTGAAGACCCAAAAATGTGATGCAAATGGAAGGGGGTTGAAATACATAAAGAAACAACTCTACAAAAAGGAAAACATGATTTTTCATCGGGGAACCGGTGATGCCACATGCATAGCCTCCATTAAGCCTTCTTAAAGTGGTTAGGATGGTCGAATTCGGCAAAAATAGGGATTGACTGGCCAAGAGAGTGAGCCCACCACTTTCACCCTAGGAAAAATCAACTCTACGGTGGCCAAAGTCCCCTGGTCAATTATTGTCCCTAATTGACTAATTGTTACTGTTTTTGAACCGGCGTTGTAGGTATGGTGGAGACTACCACACACCCTTGAATACCGTGCTAAAGTATGAAGAGTTCATGTTTAATTATTTTTTTTTTCAGAAAAAGGCTGGCAGGTGCGAGAACCTTCGAACTGTGAAAAATTTGCCACAGAGTTAATACAGAGCGACAAAGGTCAGGGGAGAGTTGATTCTATGACTGTGCAGATTTCAGCGCAGTGTGACAAAGTGTAATAGATGATCTAGCAACAAGTTACCAAGGCGGCACCGTCAACACTCCGGCCCGCACGTCCAACTCTGGACCCCCACTACAGAAAAATACCAAAAAGGTAGCCTGGGTGCCAGACCTATAGCACATTGGACCCCAAATATCTCAGTGCACATTGAGATACTTTGGGTCCAGTGTGCTATGGGTCTGACATACAGGCTACACTAGGTCGACAAAGTTAGAACGTTCCCCAGCCCATTTTGAGAAGATTGTGGGAGATTGCGGGACGACTGGGTACCATCCTGGTTAGTTTACGTCCGCTCCCACAGTCGCTACCGACCAACCAAGCTACTAAAACCTGATTATTGGACTAAAATGTTAGCCCATTCTCTGGCCCAAGTATGACTGCCCAAGACCCGCTGCCTTTCTAGATAACCCGGTACCTCCCGTCGTGTTGCAGGTAAAACCAGTCAGTACCTTCGTGAGAAAGGTGAAGGGCGACCCAACGAAACGTGAGCTAATCTCCAAGCAGATCCCTTTCGGTGGCAAGACAGTATCTATAATGCTGAGGTCACATTTCCAAACCGGGGCCCGGCCGGGCAGTCTTATGGAACGAAAAGTACGATATAAAAGACAAGGAAACACAGAAACGTTTTCGATGATAATCATGGACACTATTACTGTATATCCTTGATATGACTTGTTAGTTTTTCGTTCATACAAACAGCCCGGCCGGGCCCCGGTTTGGAAATGTGACCTAGGCATTAGCCATAGGAGTTTGTACGGCCACAGAAGGCTAATGGACACTCCTCTGTGGATACTGTCTTGCTAGCATATGATCTGCTTGGAGATTAACGTGGGTAGGTACATTCCTCCTTAATTTATTTTGTTGTGTACGAAGAAAAATTCTCAGTGACAATGATGCCGTATACACAAAGGTGGTTCTATTAGATGTTTTGTCGATGGTGATGTCTACAAAGTGCAATTTTTAATATCACTTACCATCATGATCAGATTCCAACCATGTCCCTGCCAACAAGGACTGCAATGAACGAATATTTCTTATGAAAGATGAAAATGTTTCATATATCACATAATAGCTGGTGTATTGGTTTAGCAAACGTCAGGTTGGCAAGCGGTCTGACAGCGTTTCTGTTCCTGGGTTTGTTTTTGTTGTTTTTGCGTACTACAATGTATCTGTTGTAAATTTGCCATGCTATTTTGTTCATCTATTTAAAAAACTCAAATAAAGAAAGATTTAAAAAAACGTTATGTTGGCATGGCAACAGTACGGACCAATCAAATCGAACCAAACTTTCAAAGCATTTACAAACTATGCCATCAAAGGAAGCTCATCTGCAAACCCAAGGATAAAGATATAAAGACCCTAAGATGAATTTAATAAAGCGATTAACACCGGAAAATAGTCCCTTTGATGGGATGTCAAGCCATCAGTCCTGGGTATGTCCACAGTCTTCAAACCTCTGCATAATTACATATCCTACAGCTCAAGCAATTACGTTTGCAGTGTTACCAATGGTTACACTCCCATTATGTTTAATAGAACCAGTGAATATTTTCACCACCTTTCACAACACGTCAACATGCTGTACATGTGTTGCCCGTGGCAACAGCCTACGTGAGCCAGCGCAGTCGTGATGTGTCCCGCAGAATCAAACCCGTCGCGCCCTGGTAGAGCTGAATCAACGCGCTAGCCGTCTGGTCGAGCCAAACAAGCTACATGTACCGGTGCAGCGGACTTGACTTACTTGACTTATGCTGAGTCCCGGTGTGCCTGGCCTCAAGTCTAAACGGCAGTCCAACAGTCTCTATCTTCCATCGCTTGGCTCAAGTAGTCCACCTCCAGGTCGGTGTTTCTGCTGAGGCAGTCTATGCAGGTTGCAGCCGGTCTGCCGGGCTTTCTCCTCCCGTGCTTGGTGGTCCAGAGTACAAGCTTGGCCATCATCTCCTCTCTACCCCTCAATCTTTTTGTCCTGATTTTGTCTGAGAGTCTCGGTAGGTCAGCATATGGTACAACAGAGCCGGCTCCGTTCACAATCTACAGCAGAGTCATCCACAGCTTGGGAACCTCCCTACCCCATGTCTCAGACTGTAGCAGACCAGAATTAGCTTCACCATGTTCAATAACAGCTCCGACCCGTGGATGCCGACAGAGACATCTGCTGTCGAGTTTAGAAACTTAGTGTCCTGCTACAAGTGGCATTTACAGAACAACGTGTCCCTTGAACAAGTCCACGAAGCCTGCTCCATGTACGAGGACCTTGTGAGGTTGGGAACAGAGACTGATGTTGTCTTCTGGCTGATGGGACTTCTCATCCTCATAGGTAATTTTGCCGTGCTCCTTGGAATCATTGGAACAAGAGAACTCCAAAGACCCGTCTACATCTACCTGGCAAATCTGGCCATCACAGATGTGTTCGCAGGCATCGGACTTCTGTACCGCACAGTCGGCCATATCGGACACGATGTAATGTATGATTTTAGGTTGACTTATGTCAATTTAATCATATTTAGTCAGATGACATCAGCATCAGCTGTAGCCCTACTGTCTTTTAACGCCTACGTTGCCGTAATGCATCCTATATTCTTCCACATCCACGCTGACAGTGCCAAACTCCGCGCAGGTGTAGCTTTAACTGTTTCATGGATTGTTTGCACCTTGCTTGCCTTCTCGCCAAGTATGGGCTGGAATTGTGTCCAAATGAAGACCCTCGCAACCGGGTTCTGCATTTCATGGTACCCCCTGGCATTTGTCGTCGCTTGTGCATCCATACTGCTCCTGTTGTGCATAGTCATGCTGTTCACAAACATCAGCGTGTATGTAGCAATCAGAAAACGAGAAAAGAGAAGGCTTGAACAGGCAGCTGCAGGGGGACCCCAGGCACCAGGACCTGGGCAAAACGCGGCACAAGAGCAGGCTCAAAGAAAATATGAGGAAAGGGTGTACAAGGCTAGGACTGTGATGATCCATGTAGTGGTGGCATTCGTCTGCTGGCTGTTGCCCCTCCTGTCCTTTGCAGTCTGCAGGGTTCTCCCGGATATATGCCCCAGGAACGGAGTGTTTGCAGGGATATGTCTGAACTCACTCATTAACCCCGTAGCAACACTCATCCGCACGCCGGACCTGAGAAGTGCAATCTGGCAAAAACTGACGGGCGTCCATCAGACACTTGTCAGGGTGATACGGGAGAACCGCGCGGACCCACAGGAAGACCAGGCTGGGACAGGAGACGTCCAAACTCTACAGGTAGGCCCTGCACACGGACAGGGACAAGACACACCGCGTCTGGCTCCAGATGAACAGTCTGCGGTAGGAAACCGTCAGGAAGGTCTTCCATATAAAGAGGGACAAAACACACCGCGTCTGGCTCCAGATGAACAGTCTGCGGTGGGAATCCGCCAGGAAGGTCCTGCTTATGGAGAGGGACAGAACACACCGCGTCTGGCTCCAGATCAACAGTCTGCGGTGGGAATCCGCCAGGAAGGTCCTGCTTATGGAGAGGGACAGAACACACCGCGTCTGGCTCCAGATCAACAGTCTGCCATAGGAAACCGTCAGGAAGGTCCTGCATATGGAGAGGGACAGAACACACCACGTCTGGCTCCAGATGAACAGTCTGTCGTGAAAAACCGTCACTATCAAATCCATACCTACCGCAGGACGCCAGAACCCTATAAACCTTCCAGAGACACAGCGAGAGTCCTGCCAACAATTGTGGAAATAGACTGAACTGTATGAAACCTGATTCAGAACCTTTTCACAAACACAAACTTTGTGTGAAAGCAAAATATTAGATGTACACCTTCAGAGTAACAATGGCAAGTACCTTTTGAATATCATGATTTTACCATAATTATTCTAACAATGAAGCTTGGCTTGTCATGTACATCCACTGTGCTGTGCTGGAAGAAAAAATAGATACCGAGAAGTGTAAATATTAGTCTTAGAACCCATGCCAAGCGCAATACATTATGAGTACACTCTAAATCAAGTTGTATATACAAGCGCTGCATCTGAAGAAATTGATGTAACATGTATTTGTGAAACATTAAAGTTGATGGGATATGAGATTTGACAAAGAGTCCCCAGACTGATTTATTTTAAAAGATATCTTAAGATGATTTATCTGATTAGTCAAATTTGATCTCCAGAAAAGTCATATCAGAGGCACCCCAGTCTATGTCTTGTTACAATTTTGTGAGATTCACAGTCACTTGCCTTCAGTGGAGTGTTTCCAGGATTTCAAAATGGTTTTTCTGCTGAATATTTTCAAAAAATCAACCAACCAACCAACCAACCAACCAACCAACCAACCAACCAACCAACCAATCGATCAATTATTCAATCAATCAATCAACCAATCGATCAATTATTCAATCAATCAATCAATCAATCAATTATCTTTTACAGAATACATGTAATCTGTTATTTACTGACTACATTTCAGGGACAGACACTGGTATATTGTACAGTTATCCATACAATATCGGAAAGCCATTTAAGCTGTGAGGGAGATATCACATTGTAAGCTCTAAATAGAAACGAATGAAGAGATGCTTGCAATTCAATAGATGCTTGTATCCGAGGCAAATATGCAAGGAATACTTTAGCGTAATTGGTGAGTCGGGTGACTTACCTGTAATTGAACGTTGCCTTGAAGTCTATAATTATACGCGTGGCCGGCAATCTTTGGGGCATCCTGTAGATGTTTGGGGTTGAGACAATTTATACCCATGTACATGGGGAAGAAAATATACAGAAAGAATATGCTTTACTGTCACTCAACAACATTTTCAAACAGTACAATAATTATCTATTTTCTTGCAATAAGTTTAAACCATTTGAAACATAACCTCAGCGATATACCTTCAGGTAATCCACAGACTAGCATCAACTCATTGTCTAACTCTGGCTTTAACTCTGCCCGCTTTTAAGAGACTTATGCAGAGAAAAATTCAAATGAACGGACACATATTATACACCAATTGCTATATACGAAGTTTCCTATATACACCAACTGTCATAGTTTGCTATATACATGTGTACACCAATTATTATGTTTACTGAAGGAAAACATATTGTTTTTGCTACGTTTCCTCTTCTTCTTCTGTTTCAAATACTAACCTCTGACCTGGCCAATGACCTGATTTGTTGACATCTGTCACCATGGTAACTGGTGTTGGGTTACATAATGTTGCAATTTTATAGTAGGAGGCATTTAGACTCCTATCTGACCATATATATTAATGTATTTGGGTACGAACTAACAGAGCAGACCATGTGCGAAGGTAAACATTGCTTTGCAAATGTTACCTTTCTAGTTATAGTTTGCTGTTTTTAAACCACGTATTGGATATGCAGCCATGAAATGCAGTGTTTTTTCACTGTTGACGAAAATGCAGATCAGCTAGAGCTTGCTACCTGCTTGAGGTCTGTCTACGTTTTTCCTGAGAAAGCTGAGAATCTTGGCCCAGGAGTCCTCTTGAGCAGCAGCGTGTCCCTTTGGTTCCCCACCTGCGTACACGTAAACACCTGCAGAACAAGGCGCTTGGTGAAATAAAGACTAAGCTTTCACTTCCAACACTCAGATCGCAGAAATGGGAGTTACCCCAAATTTTCGGTTGACTCCACCAACCTTGTTCACGGAATGGACCCGTCTACTCTTGGAACGTGACGTCAGAGACACGTGACCGTAGTAGCGGGTCATAGGTGCCAGATAACTTGTGTCGGCCCCCGTCTCTGTTCAGGGTAGGTCTGTGAGCTCGGTGGAGTCAACCAAAAATTTGGGGTAAGTTCACCACTTTTACAATTCAACATACTGCACTTTGCCCTTCTGAGTATGATGCAATGAAGATCATTTGTGCGTTCCTTTAAATGTTTGATGTATTTTTGTCTTTTTAAACATTTGCACTGTATCTTATGCACTATTCCCTATGTATATATGTAACGATGTGCCTGTATTCCATGTATTTGAGCCTTGGAAGACTAGCCCTGCAGGGCTAAAAGGTTTCGAAATAAATGAAATAAATGAAATCATTGTCACTGGAAACAGCCATCAATACTGGCTACTATATAAAAAAACATGATTTTCCACTATGTTCAATGATCTGTGTCAGTGTTTGCTTTAACATGATGCCACATGTGTCCACATGATGCCACATGTGTCCATAATATCGCCACCTTAAGAAATAGTGTGCTTAAAGATATTTTTATTGCAACATACCCTAGTTATGTACATTTGAGGTGTGCAGGAGTGCATACCAAAAGTATGTTGCAGTAAAAATATCTTTAAGCACACTGTTTCTCAAGGTGGCCATATTATGGACCCTGGTGATATTATGGACAAAGACGTTATACTAGTAATTGACTACTTCCCAACATTGTGACTGCCAAAAGAATGTGTGAACGTGAGAGTTGCTTACGGAAAGGCGGGTGGAAGTAGAAGCCACAGTGAGGCGTGTAGGGCGGCTCGATCAGATGACCTGTCCCAGGGTACCTCAGCAGTGTGTAGTTAGTCTTCCCATGAGCCTTCATTCTAGCAATGGCCTGTAGTGGAAAGCAGAAGCATGGGCCAAGCTAATATCCAAAAGCTACCAATTTGAACCTTAGGCCACACCAATTTAATTTCTTGGTTAACGGATTCGCCGCTTCATTTTTTTCTGATTTGCAAATAAAAATAAAAATTCAGAATCAACTGCAAAATGCTCATATTTTGCCCTGAACAGTTGAAAACAGTCCTTTTCTTACTACTTGTTACAGTCATTCCATCTTTCAATGCAGTAGTATCATTAAAAGTGCAAAATTCACTGTTTAAATTTTGAACCAGCCTGGTGTGTTGACTTCATGGCTCCTATCGTACCATTTTGGGCCATAATAGGATGCCTAGGCCTGTTTTTATTTATATTTTTTTTCGCCCACCCGCTCCATTATTTTTGTAGAAAAATCCGTTAACCAAGAAATTAAATTGGTGTGGCCTTAGGGAAATATTTGTTAATATTTGTTATTTGGAAATATTTGTTATTTGGTATTCTAAAAACACTTGTGGGACATTTTGACACTCCCATTTCATCATTAAACTTAACACGTCTCAGACTGCAGCCATAATGGAACGCTAAGCATTACAAAGCATGTTCAGACACGTATCATTTAGCCCCGCCCTAAGAAGTACGAGTGTTCAACCCCAGACACGTGATTACGAAAAATCATGTTTTGGAATGGACCACGTTTTAGAATGTAGGTGCAGTTCACTTTATTTTATTCCAATTCATGATTTGACATGGTTTGAAATGCAACAACAACTTACCTTGTTGGCATGGTAGACACAGGGAATATTGATGTCATCCTCTCCTGCTACAAACATGATGGGACAATCAGATTTCTCCACCTGAAAGTGGGAAACACAAAATGTCTATGTACACTGGCTCTGAGCTATAGCCCACATGTTGTTAGGGAACAGGTAAGCATAGCCTGTGAAACTCAAGCTCTTTGTCCGGCTCCCTAGATAGTCCGCCATCCAAGATTTTGGGTGGCGGTCTAACTAGGGAGCTGGTGAAAAGCGACTCTCAGTCAGGCTAAGCCAAGCAGTGCTACATAATGACAGGAACAGAAATTCTGACCTGAATGCATGCGTTAATCCCTGGCTCTGTCGTGATATCCTCCAGCTGGTTTTCAACATTTGCAAAACCGTCTTCGGTGAACACGATCTGGTCTGCCATCCACCTACATGTGTGTGTAAACAATAAAAAAATTAGGGACATCCTCTCAGATGGCAAAGTGTTCATGTGGTTAGGGTTGTTGACTCAGGATCCAAAGGTTTTGGGTTTGAATCCCTGGCAGACCCCGGTGTTGTGTCCTAGGGAAAGGCACTTAACACTATTTCCTCAGGTGGAAATGAGTACCTAGCTTTGGTTAGGGACGTACTCTCGGATGGGATGTAATTTAAAAGCTGGGGTCCCATGTTTGAGGGGACACACCTCAAGCATGTTAAAGAACCCACCACACTTATAGAAAAGAGAAGGGGTCCTTCCCAGTGTGAGTGGTTCAAACCTTACCATCTGGTCTCTGTGTTGACATGTTGAAAAGATGGAAGATGATAGTCACCTGTTATGTCAATCCTCGAAAGGAAAACACTATTCTTTCTTAAGCAAATAAACAACCAAATAAGTGTTCACTTTCTATTGTGTTGAACAACAAATGGTTTGCATGCAATGAAAGGATTTCATATGCAAGGTCTTTTAAAACTGCAAAGAAATTAGACTAAAACAAACTGTTTGAACCCTACCTTGCGCATGGTAACACCATGTCCTTGTACGGTAGAGGTGCATAGCTTATAGCACTGTAGGAACTGATAGCTACTGCAGCAGATACCTGAAGGCGATCAAGAACATACAAAACATCCGTAAAGAATTTCATCTGGTTGGTGAATGATTGAATAGTGAAGTTCTCTATTCAAAACCACTTTTTTAACAAGAATGTACATTTACCCCACCCCCCCTTGCGCAGTACACCCTGGAACGACATAATTTTCGGCAAGTCAAAGGAGGTCGTTTAAGGAAAGAAGAAGAAGAACCGATTTTTCAATGACCGTCTGTCGTCTTCAGGGCTTACAAGTTATATGACTGATCTACTGTGCACTAGAGTTAGGTGTTACTGGTTCACTAGCCTCTACCAGGCTTTGGGAGGCGGCTAAGGAGAGTATAGAAATTGGCCAAATAGAATGGCCGCCTCCTGAAGCCTGGTAGAGGCTACTGGTTCACTAAATCTGGGGATGGCAGAGTTATCGTTACACAGACTACTCCAACAGTGACTTCTGACAAACTTTAAACCAGTGCTGACAGCACACGTGCAGAAAAAAAATTATCATATTATGTTGTAAAAAATCATGTGTCTACAGCACTTGGGTCAGATAGCTGATGAAGACCAAGATATCTGATCAAAAATTCCACTGTCAGTCAAATTTCTGCGACTCATGTGCCTCTGTAAACGTTACCTGTTTCATGTATGTGGCCATGGCCTGAACTATCTCCCCTGCTTTAGATGTACCGACTGCTCCAATACCGTGAGACTGCACCTTGGGGTGACTCAGGAGCCAGTCTGCTGCTTCCTTAAAGACACAAGTTAGTCATCTTAAGATTCCTTATGAAATACGTCATTTTTCTGCATAGCTGCATGGCATTGCACTGATTCACGTAATTGAAAATCACCTGCACTGGTGAAACTTGACAAAGGGCAATACTACAAAGCAATGTTGATTACTGAGCTGGGCAACCCTAGGTATAAATGACAAAAAATAGATATATAAAGTTTGAGGTCTTTGCTGTGACTTGCGGTGAACACATTAGACTCTGTCTTCTGCAGCATTTATATTAACTTTGGTTATTTCAACTCAAAACAGGTCCTTTCCCCAGTCATAATCGTAAACAATCAGTCCCTGCAAAGTATTTTGTAAATACATATACAAGATCAACCCACAGGACAGAGACAAGTGCTGCCATCAAGCCCCAGTTGTACGGTGCAAGCACGTCTAACCCTCGGAAGACGGGGAACAACAGACGATAAACTGGACAGACAGAGAGAGAGAGAGATACATAAACTGGTACCTCGAAATAGTCCAGATCGATGTCAGACATGTCATTAGGAAGGTCCTCGTAGCCGAAAAAGGCGAGACCGAGTGTGGCGAACCCACGGGAGGCCAGTAGAGCGGAGCGGTAGTCTGCAAAACCCCCGGTGGACCCGAACATGTCAATCACTCCGGGGAAAGGACCTTCACCTGGAATAAAAAACAGACAAGAAATCAGAGATTTCAGACTTTTAGGAAGTGTTGGAGGGTCCCTCATGCAATCCTTGGCTCCCAGCCAGATCATCGGACCTATAAAAATCAGAGGCGAGCAGTAAAAACAGAAAGAAACTCCTGGTCCGGGGTTCGAACCCACGACCAAATCCGAGCACCAGCTTACAATCCAACGCTCCTACCGAATCGGCTAAAAGGTCATCGGCCTGGTCAGTTGGTAGCGCCTATAAACCCCCCACTGTTACAGAAACCCTCTGGAACGGTAGTCTGCAAAACCCCCGGTGGACCCGAACATGTCTATCATTCCGGGGAAAGGACCTTCACCTGGAATAAAAAAACAGACAAGAACTCAGAGATTTCAGACTTTTAGGAAGCTTTATTGGAGGGTCCCTCATGCAATCCTTGGCTCCCAGCCAGATCATCGGACCTGTAAAAATCAGTGGCGAACAGTAGAAACAGAAAGACACTCCTGGTGCCGGGCCGGGGTTCGAACCCACGACCAAATCCGAAACCAACCAAATCCAAAATTTGAAACCAGCCGAGCATGTTGACTTGTCTCTAAGCTTACATTACTAGTAAGTTACAGCATGGGTCGCTGTCAACTGACTGGGTATAAATCTGAGAATCTCTAGGCACTGACACTACACACTAGGTATCTCACTACAGTTCCACTTGGGTATCACACTACAGTTTGACAGTACAGTCAATCAATACACCGTTAACATACCTGTCTCCAAGTCATATTACAACAACAGCTTCTTTCCCCGGACTGCAAAATTATGGAACTCTCTTCAAAACAGCTGCTTTCCGTCCGATTACTATCCACAAAGCTTCAAAGGTCCACCGCCATCTCCTGACATAACTACATTATACTCACTTAAGTACCTCTAGCTCTATGCCTAGAAGTGGCCAAAAATAATTGGCCTTGCATTGAGTGACACCGAGGAAAAAAAAAAAAGTACAGGCTCTCACCTGGCGGGAGAAACAAGGCCCCTCGCAGACGACCTTCCCTCAGGGGTATCCTCTCCACGCCCTTCCCGAGGTACCATCTCTCCAGGCGGGTCGAGGTGAGTGCCGCGGTGTTCGGCTCCGCGATGGCGTCCAAGTGTCCGTCGTGCAGGCTGAGGTCGAGCAGGAACGGCGTGGAGACGTCCTTCTTCCTGAGCCGCAGCCCGGGTTTCTGCCCAGGGGAAGGCTGCAGGCTCCAGAACAGACCCATCTGGTCTATGCCTGAGTTTAAAAAAAAATCATTAGCATGGTCACATACAGCAGTGCCCATCTCCATTTTGGGGCCACACAGTTGTACAATCACTACAGCAGGGGATAGTCCACTGGTAGTGGTGTGTGTTCAACTTCCATGAGAAGACTCCACTGGACAGGCTACTTTGAGGTACAGTGTTAAGACTGCTGCCCACCTGTTTCAGGGACCTCCACAGCTGTATATTTGAAGCTCAAATACTTAGTAGTGAGTGCGAGCTAGTGACATCATAAAAGAAAAGCTACAAACTATCCGCTACATATCCAGAAGCAGCAGGAAGAATAGAACAAGTTTAACAATAACTGACAGTCATCTTTCATTGCAAAGGACTACCATGCTATGCAGAGAACTTTTCTACCACCAACTGTTGAACTTTGGAACAATATTCCGTAGGAAATTGCTACGATCAGGGACAGAGATTCAAATATTTAATTAATTCTTTCCTCAGCGCAAAACTCAACGCGCAAATAGCGTTTGGTGTAGGCAGTCCAGTTGCTAACTAATGCTGAGTGAGAGTTGACATAGATTAAAAAAAAAAGCTGTAATAAAATTTTCACTGCAGTACATACCTGTGAAAGTCCCTCCCAGTGCAGGCTGTTTCCCCAGGACCACCCTCCCGGCACTGTCGGCCCTGTAATGTAAGTGTGGTACATTTGCCACTTGACTGACATGAGGTTATTATGTTTACCAAATGGGGCAAAAACATATTGTTTTTGCTCCATTTCTTCTTCCTCTCCTTCTTCTTCTGTTCCAAACACTAACCTCTGATCTGGCCAATGGCCTCTTTTATTGACGACTGTCACCATAGTAACAGGTGTTGGGTTACATACAATGTTGCAATTTTATAGTAGGCATTTAGGCTCCAGTCACCATATACATGTACATGTATGTGAATGTGTTTGAGTAAGAATTAGCAGAGCAGACGGTCCGAAGGTAAGCATGATGCATTTGCTTTGCAAATGTTACTTCTCTAGTTACTTTATCCTTACAGCAGTGTAAGCATCGGATAGTCAACTGATACCATTAATAGTTACTACATGTACTTTTGGCTGTGTACCTATTCTTTTGGGGGGTGCAACTATCTTTTGTTTGGTGCAAGTTAATTTTTTTTTAATCTGCACCAGTGCAAGTTGACCCCAAAACTATTTTGACCCCTTACAAGACCAGAAAGTGCTTTATCTACACTCTGTACTTATTCTTGGCTTATGTGCTTAAAGCGTCTCAGTTCTGATGCGAGTCTCTGTTTTTCTTCCTGCTGAAGCAAGCCCAGATTCCTAACTTACTGTCTCCAGAATGTTCTGTTTGTTGCTAGTGTCTCCCATGTGTTAGTATCTATGTCCATGGCTTTCATGTCCCATTTAATAACGGTTAAGCACAGGTGAGGACGACCACGTGCCCTTGTCCCGTTTGCAAGTTCACTGTACAGTGGAGGTAGACATCAGAAATACCTGCACAGCCCCAATTTCACCTGCACTAACCTGCATATATCCAGTACATGGACCAGTGCAGGTTAGGTGCAGGTAGACATCAGAAATACCTGTACAGCCCCAATTTCACCTGCACTAACCTGCATATACCCAGTACATGGACCAGGGCAGGTTGGGTGCAGGTAGACATCAGAAATACCTGCACAGCTCCAATTTCACCTGCACTAACCTGCATATACCCAGTACATGGACCAGTGCAGGTTGTGTGCAGGTAGACATCAGAAATACCTGCACAGCTCCAATTTTACCTGCACTAAGGTACATATACCCAGTACATGGACCAGTGCAGGTTAGGTGCAGGTGGACATCAGAAATACCTGCACAGCTCCAATTTTACCTGCACTAACCTGCATATACCCAGTTCTTGGATCAGTGCAGGTTGGGTGCAGGTGGACACCAGAAATACCTGTAATGTGCGTAAGACTGGAAGCGTGCTGCTCCCTCCACCAGCTGTGCCTGTAAAGTTACCGGCTGATGGGGAGACAGACTCTCCACGGTGATGTCCACTCTCTCGTCCACCAGGGCTCGGGCCGGGTTCACCAACAGTCGCGCTGCCCGGACGCTCATCTTTCTTTTAAAACAGAATAAAAGTGATTAAACTAAAGAAAGATAACATTGGCAAAGCAAATACCAGTACATGTATATAACGTTAATGGTTTAATGATGCATCTTAACATGGTCTACCCAAACAAACTACTGATTTCTGTGATTTCAGCCGATTTTATGTATTTGACCAGGGATGATTATGATTAAATTAGCCATTTTTACGATACGTTGTTACCAGTTGTGAAGTGCTCACATACACTAGTGTGTTTACATACACTATACTGTTCCCAATCTGCAAAATATAAAACTTCACGGAGAATTGTCGACTGTGACTACTTGTTTCAGTTATTGTAGTAAACTGTGACATTACGCAGATCCTACGGTGGAAACGGTTACAGGATTTGCTTGGAGAGTAACACAAATTCAGCACCTAATCAAGAGTCAAAAACTGTAGGAATACCTGTGTGTGTTGAGCCAAATATCCTTGATCTGCCCCATACGTGAGTGGAGAGATCAGGTCCTTATGTAGGGTTAGGGTTAAGGTTGGGGCTATGGTTATTCATTTATTTATTTATTTTATTTTATTCACATTTATTTTTCGAGGATTGGGCAAAAAGTTATTAAACTTATGTCAACCCCCTCCTCACACATAAAAGGAAACTATAAAACAAAGTAATAATAATAATAAGAAGAAGAAATGACAAAGGTACATAATGAGCTGGTGTACAAAATATCAAAATCATAATCAACTAAATCAAACAAAACGTCCTGTCTGCAAAATAAAGTTGGTTAGAAGAGTTGGGATCATTGTTCAGTGCTAGGGGTAGACTTACGATTGGAGTTAGGTTAGGTCTCCCACATCACGACTAAACCCCCTCGTCCTTCCACCCCTTGTCTCGGGTAAAATTTACTATACGTCCGACTCGGGGTGTTCTTCATAAAACACTACGTATAAAGTAGCTTTAGTATCATTATGGACTAGCCGCCTGTTAGAATTATATTTTAGTGCAGTTCATGTACCTTAACCCCTGCTGTTTCCTCTTTGTCATACATTGTACCAGTTACAGTTGTTGACCAAATAAAATTATTATAAAGTTGATATGATTTGATTTGTATGGCTAACGTTAACGTTATAATAATTTTATATGGTTCCACACCGGCAAATATATCTTCTGTACACAATGAAAGGCTTTTACCTGTATTGTATTCTGGCAATATGCAGCATGGTGCGTCGGTACAATATTATATACAAAGTTCTTCGCTGTAAGAAGAGAGATTACATGCTGCAAAGTGAATTCTACCGGCAGTATTCTGTTTGTTGGTAACGTTACGTATTTTGCCCTCCCACGGAAAGTTCAGGTTGACTTCTGACCTCTGACCTTGCACGGCCTGATGACACAAGTAGTGCATTAGTACATCGGTTTGTCGCTTACAGTAGACTATACTGTGTAGCGTTACAACCCACATGTTCCATGTTAAAAAGAACACAAAATTTTCATTCTCTATTTTTTGTCAGATTCGACCCGATGTCATAGTGTCGTCTTAATGTTGAGCATAAAATGCCCCTAAACCTCAAAAGTCAAAACACACAGAGACAAGCTGTCGACAGCATACCTTTCTTCGCTATGCAACCTGGGAGATTTTACCCCTGTCGCAATGCACCCTGGAAACGGGAAAATGGCGAATGCAGTAAATGGCGAATGCAGTACGTGTTCATTCACCAGTTTCCCATCCCCAGAATGCAACGCGAAAACAGAGGGTCTAACCTCATTTGCATAGGACAGCGGTACAGTACAGTACCCCAATACCCCATTGTCGCTGTTGTCCAAGCAGAGGTTTGGGTTTGGGTTATTTTTGGCGAGTTTTTTGGCTTTTCATCGGGGTTTCTCTTTTGCACTAGAATTTTTTTTTCTCACCCAACCCCACCAAATTTGTGTTACTCTCCAAGCAGAGATCCAATGGGTTTGGTGAGAAAAAAATTCCAGTGCAAAAGAGAAACCCCGATAAAAAAGCCTAAAACATGCCAAAAATAACCCCAAACCCAAACCTCTGCTTGGAGAGTAGCTGTCGCCCTCAAGAATCCAACATGCACCGAGGAATCGCGCCTCCTAACGAAGTACGCTGGAATACCATGCACATCTCATTAAGTTTGCCACAAATACAAATACTTGTACATTATTGATGAAGAATCGCGTGAATTATTCTTTTATCATTTCTTTAATAGCGGTTTACAAACGGCAAACTGAACGATTCTCAATGTAAGAAACAACATACGCCAAAAAGCAGTTACTCAAGCAACTGGATATGATTTTGGAAACGGTCAGACGTTTCAGCTATAGTATACACTAGCTTTCGTCAGTGACTGAGAGACCAAAGGAGAAATGCAGGTTTATAAGCACAAACTATTGATTGATATGCAAATAAAGTGAAGACAATTATTTGGCAGTCGAAAAGGGAACAAAAGTCAGACAAGTCAAGACAAGATAATGCAAATTAGTCAGAAAGCTCCTGTTATACAGAACAGGTAACAACAATTACGTTACACTTAGCCTGACTAAATCTGCGCTCCTAGCGGCCAGACGGTATTACATCATGCGGCTGGTGTAATACCGGCCGCTAGGAGTGCAGGTTTAGTCAGGCTACGTTACACTATACTAGCCGCAAACTATTTGAAGCGAATATGCCTCCGGATCCACTACAAGAAATATGCCTGCGCTAACCCGCAGCGCATTCATATATTTTAGTCTACCATCGCTGTTTACCATGTGTATTTATAATTATGTATAACCATACGGCCCTGGATTGCCCGCATAGGCCGGGAATGACAGTCCGGTAGAGCAACGAGCAGCCTAAACTGGATGGATACCTACCTGGCTGAAAGAATCTACTATCTACTATCTACATGACCTGTACTTAGTTCGAATGAGCAAAAATGTACAACAGGTCATTCATTTCATTTCATCTCTTTATTTCCTCCATCTTTGGAGAGCCTCAATACAATCGGTACAATACAAAATAAAATCTCATTTGTTGACATTTACAAGAGGTTAAATAAAATACTTTAGCAACGTTACACTGTCCCACTGACAGATCCAAGTGTGCACTGCTAAATACTGTAGTCTTATTTCTACATATTGCACTTGGTCTTAAAAGGACTACACCTCGAGACATTACAAGTCAGAAAAATCGGATTAAATCGTTACTACAAGCAATATTACTCTCACATTAAATCTCCAAATGAATGTACAAGGTACGTCTAGGACCAGATCTTTTTTTTTTCAGTTCTTCCCTCAGACGGTTCACCACTTCGAGCATACACATGTAGATTACAAGTCAGTATTCATTCATTCATTCATTCATTCATTCATTCATTTATTCATCCATCCATCCATCCATCCATCCACTCATTCATTTATTCATTCATTCATTCTTTCATTCATTCATTCATTCACTCATCCATTCATTCATTCATTCATTCATTAATCCATCCATCCACCCACTCATTCATTCATTCATTCATTCATTCATTCATTCATTCATTCATTCATTCATTCATTCATTCATTCATTCATTCATTCATTCATTCATTCATTCATTCATTCATTCATTCATTCATTCATTCATTCATTCATTCATCAGTGCCGTACTCTACCTATACGTGTACTGGTGTTTCCCCTTACCCACCACACGGCTCTCAGTTGAAATAGCCTGAGTGTCAGCCTTCTTTATAGCTTTCGTCCACTCCCCAAGATCCGCAACCGGAAGCTAAAATTTAAAAAGGCTGACACTCGGGCTACAGTCGGCCTCAATTCAGCAAATACCCTGACTGAAGACGTCTTATGGAGAGAATGTGTGATTGATATCCGATCCCTATCGCTCAACACGCTCCTCCTCCTCATATGCGTGTGCGAGTCTTTTGTTCAATACATAATACTGCCGCGTGAGGGCTTCTGGCTCCTGGGTTCGTCACACAGACAATCCTGGGAAGGAGATCATGCTGGGCGAGGCAGACTATCCGGGGAACGAGTTAATTATTCCGTGGATAATGCCCAAACTCCCTCCGTGGCTAAGTTCCTTCCGTGACAAACTCCCTTCTGGGCAAATTTAGAGACGTAATGGTAAACCCTCATGGCGTCGCCAAAGAAAGATACTTTGTATAGGTCCGTTCCAAATAGTGTATTACCATTGTGACAACATATTATAGCCCAAAATAGGAACTTCGCGTCTTGTTTTAGAACCGCTACGGTAGAAATACAAGTAATGCAGCCGTGTAACGTTAACTTACGTACTAGCGAGCGCGCACGAAAATACCACCCGAGTAGAGTAGGTTATCATAACCATCTAGAAAGACACAAAGAAAACAAACAACGACAGATTTGCATTAAACTTTAAAGAAAGTTTACTTTCCATAGCCTGGGCTAAGCCACGATCTATAACCTATAGCTTCTCCACGGGCGCTGGGGACGAGTGCGATCGCTCAATATAGCTGTGGTGTCCCAGTTTGAAAGGCTACATCTGCCCTGAGAGAAGGAGTGAGATGGGTTTAATAGCCACGGTAGATGGTAGATGTTACAGACTCTACAGAGAGTTACCGAAAGGTCAGACATTCACAAAGAACAGCGCTCGAGCGGCCCCCGTTGTGTCGGCCTGTGTAATTAGCATGTAAACACAGGCTCTTTGTCCGGCGCTCAAGGAGCTACCAAGTACTAATTAGGGAGCCGGCGAAAAGCAAGGTTCAGTCAGCCTGGGTGCCACCCGATCTGTAACGGCAATCTCGATTTTTTTCGGGCACAAGAGGTTCGATAAAATCTGTCATTACGTCACGAACTTTTCAGCGAACTAACCCCCCCCCCCCCCTCCCAACATACTTTTTGGGGCAGGGGTACAGTTTGCCGCTCAGACTTGATAAAATTTCTTATTTTTATTTGTATATTTGGCCGATTTCTACCGTTTATCCCATGACCTGGGAAGCCTAACAGAGCCTAACAATGTGCTGAAGTACCGGAGTTCGTAAGGTGTAACCTGCTTGAGATATGGCTCTCCTCAAACACAGGTCCTCCGACTTTATAATGTACTAGCCTCCTGTGCAGGCTCCGGGCGGGTGGGGGTTTTGATACTGCGTTTTGTAGAGTTTTTAACGTGTTATTTTAATTGCCGGCCATCCTACAACCAGCCGCGACTTTACGTCCTATCCGAGAGGACGTCCCTAACCGAAGCTAGGACACCTGAGTCGGGTTTATAGAAAACAGGTGTAATCTACCTTAGTGGCGTCCGATGGCGTAGTGGTAGAGCGTTCGACTATGAAGCGGGGAGACCCGGGTTCGATTCCGAGTCGTACCTGACACATGTCCGAACATGCCCCCGACGTTGTGTCCTTGGGAAAGGCACTTTACACAACTTTCTTCACTCCACCCAGGTGGGAATGGGTACCTAACTTCGGTTGGGGAAAGTCTTATGGCGGAGAATGGAAGCCGCACAGACCCTTGCGACAGCAAATATATGTGTCGTGTGTTATTTGATTGTTGTGATTTGTATTGATTATTATGTGATACCCTGCATCAATTCAGTCGTATAAAGGCTGTGACCGCACGGGTACTGTTTGGACAATAAAAAACCCATTTATTTACTTTCCCAAGGCATAACACGGGCCATCTTACTATAATACATGTACCTACAAAAAGGGACAAGCAAAGAGGTTAACCCCCGGTTATAACCTAGCCTCCTCAGTACGAGTAACTTCGGGGCAATCCACGTACACATTAACGCAAATATCGCCGCAAACAGGAAGACATTATAGATTCATATGGAGAACTATCTCGCAACAGTACCTCTTGGGATACAGATATAGATCCCAAGGCTAAATCCCTACGTATTGCGCTGCGGGATAGCTCTGCATGAGAGAACGTATCTCCCGCAACTGACAGATTCTAAATTAATCTTTTGTAACGTCTGCTCAATTGTTTTTCGCTGGCTTTGTAAAAAATATCGACATCGAAGGTCTAAGCGTACCCCCGTATTTGGTAGGATACATTTGAGGCAATTGATTCAACAAATGTTTCTTCGGTTCAGAGCTTATATAAGCGATCACAAAATTAAGAATTAGTTGTCATAAATTAAACATTGAAAAAGGTCGATACAAGAAAATACCAAATGACCAAAGGTTCTGTCCATTTTGTCCAAACATGATTGAAAATGAGCACAATTTTATAATAGATTGTACACTATACAATGATAAGCGCCTATTGCTGTTCACCTTTCTTTCCGCTTGTTCAATTGATTTCAATACGTTAGATCCTATAGATAAATGCAACTACATTCTCGGGGGAGATAACCAATACAGTGTTCAAATAG